ACAAAGAACATGGATATTTCACACAACATATTCAATGCATGGACAGACTTTATTAAACATTATCACAGAGCAGTCAACACTGCAGCTACAGGATCAGGCTCAAGAGGATCTGCACTCGGTGCCCCACGGTTGCCACGAAGCCTTCTTATGATAACTGTACATGTAACACAAAGAAATGAGCTGATCAGACCCACACTAAGGAAACATATGTACAATGATCCCAAAGAGTCTACAAACAATTGCACATTACTAAGCATAATCATACATATACAGAGTACCCTAACAAACTGCTCTGATACCATAAAATGTAACATCCCGTACGCATGCGGTAATGTTATCATCACTTATGATATTAAGCGCAATTACAATCACACCAGTTTATTTAAAAATACTTTAAAACTCAATGCACCATTTTTCTTCTTCTTTGAGTGGAACAACCATTGATACAACTTGAAAGTAACCATCTTGAGGCAAAAAGACCCCTTTTTGGAACCTTCTTGTTGTTGCCTTAGGGAGGTGAGAGTGAGTCTTATGAGTTTTTAGAGTTGGAGCTATACCAAGCTTGCTTGGAAGCTATTAGTGGTAAGAGGAGTGATTTTCATCACTCCATTTTTGTGTACAGTGCTTGGTTGAAGCAAAAAGTGGATTTTCCTACCTTAAAGGCCCTTCATTTTATGCTTACAAGGCCTTGGGGTACATTCCTTACCTTTGTTCATGAGTTTCTATGTTAAAGATCAAGTCTTGGCATGTTTAATGAGGTGATTAAGTAACTAACATAAACATTGGCCTTAATGGGTTTAAATATGCATGTTGAATGTCCGATAACATAAAAAATGGAGTCTTGGAAGGATATCTTTGCGAAAATGCAGAACTGCATTCTGTCGCGAAATATCTAGATATTGATATCCAGATATGATATCCAGATATGGTTATCCAGATATTGCATTTGTGATATCCGGATAGGGATATCCGGATATTGACCCTGTGATATCCGCATATTGATATTTGGATATGTCCCTAAGGAATATCCGGATATTCTGGGAAATTCATAGTTTCAGCCATTCTGTCTAAATAGAAGTGTGGTTTAGGTTTCTGGACCTTTAATTGATTAGTATGAACTCTGTAATGATGTAACTAAGTCAGAATCTATAATATTGAAGGCTTATGGCTTTGAGAGAAGCCTACAGCCATTAAACGATAAAGGAAACGTTGTCCTAATGCAATGAAGTGCTAGACTATGAATATTGATGATGTGAATGTTATGAAAACAGATCCTTGTCTTTGTTGGACCTTGTTATTACTTGTGACCCTGTGGACACTGAGTTGTGAGGGAGGATTTAGCTTGACAGGTAAGCTTTTGGTCCTCGAATTTATCTGTTGCTTGTTCCACCGACCTCTATGAGAGGGTGGTTTATGTGCATGGTATGCTTTTATGAAAATGATATATGCATTGTTATATGCCTAAGAAATGTGGATATGCTTGTTGATGTAATGTATGGATGTGATGTGGGGTACTTACACGATCAGGCAGCAACCCTGGTGTGTAAGGCATGAAGCAGCAACCCTCGTGTTTTGGTATGTTGCAAATGTTCGTAATACTATCCTGTTCTCTGGCCAGTTGAACCGCACTTGCATATATTACATGAGATATAACCTGTGGTACATGACTTTCTGAGTATTGGAATATATTGTTATAATTGTATTGCCCTCACATGAACATGCATTGTATTTAGTGTTTAAGAACTTATTATATACTTGTAAGTGAGCTTGGGGCAAAAGAGTCCTTGAGGACCCCTTGTCTTACTGAGATTTCTTGTTAGAAATCTTACCCTGTGTGGGGCACATTTTCAGGTACAGGTGTTCTTGAGGTAGAGACCTCTTGAGGCAGGAGGCCGGAGTTGAGCTGATATGTGACACGAGCTGTCGAACTCGCGCAAATTAAAAATTAATTCTTTAGGGTTCAGAAAATTTGTAGTAGAGTGGAAACCCTAAGTCGTCTCTCTCAAGGAAATTGCTTGGGTAAAAATCATTTATGATGACAGAGAATAAAAATGGGGGTTTGTTTTTATTTCAGTTTAATAATTTAAAAAGGCAGAAGATAAAATTGGATGTAAAATTCGTAATTAAAGAAAACCAACCTAAAGTTTGGGATCCATGGACTTCTTTCCTCGGATAAGAAGATATCAGAATCGTGATTGATTTTTCAATCGGATCAGAATCCTTATTTCCAATTGTCAACCCTCTCTAAGCGATCGCTTAGCATTTGATCAAAGACGATGCTTATACTCATACAATCGCAAAGTATCAGCCCGCTTGATTTAAGGTCATAGGGTCAATCAACCTAATCATCAAATCTGATGATTAATCCCTTTCCATAATCGCAATCGCGAACCTCAGATTGAATATCCACGATCGCACGATATCAATCTGAGTTGGGAAGGGAAACAAAACTGATTTGAAATAAACGCAGATCCTCAAGACTAATCCATGGAATCCATTACCCTTAGGTTGATTAAAAGGTTCTTAGCCTCGCATGGCTAAGGTAAACATGATTAAAATAAAAAGAAGAGGAAGAAAAAGATGAAGAACAGAATTGAATAAAAACTCAAAGAGAACTTTTCTGTTGTAGAAACTGACTGCCGAAGGGTTTCCTAAGGTCTCCCTTAAATAGCCGTCACGCAGAACGGCTAGGGTTTCACCGCTTCAGCCCAAACATAAAATAAAAGCTGAATAAAATAAAATAAAACAATAAAACATGGCCTTGGGCCCTAAACACATTGGGTCCTAATGTGAATTACAAGTTCAAACGTCAAAATAAAATTCCAACAAAACACGTCATCTTGAGATCAAGTTTAGACCATTTTCCCTCAAAATTGGGCTTCAGTAGCTGAAATAGCGATTGTATCCCTATCTGTTAGCTGCAAAAAGCAATAAGAATGGAGTCAATCGGACATCTGTAGAGTGAGATATGGTCAAAATACGGAAGTAGTGTAAATCTGGAAAATTATGACGAAAATCAATTAAACCCAACTAAAATCTAGAATTGTGAATTGACCCAAAAGACCTTTATTTAATTCAAATAAATCATAAAAATACCAACCAAGAGTAATAAATAAGTGTAACAAAATATGAGTTATCAATATGTTGCATCCTTTTATTTTTATGTTCGGATATGATTATGCCCTGTTATTATATGGCTATTGTACTTGAGACATGATTTTACCATGTTGTTTATTTGGTGAGCATGGGGTTGTCCAAGCCTCAACCGTATAAGTTATGTTTATTCAGACTTGAGTTGTAATACTGTATCAGGATATTGTCTGGTCTACGTGTTGTAGTTCCATGACTTGATACTTATTTATGCTATGAGATTATTCAATGTAGTTATTTTATTACAATTTACATACGTACGATTTTTGAAAAGGAATAAGTAATATGACATGACTAATATGATCAGAATTATAAATGGAAATTTTTAACTTTCGCATTTATTAAGCTGCGCTTATTCCATTTATATGTTTAATACACGGGGCGTTATATTTTATGGTATCAGAGCACTTTCTAGGGAAAAAGCCTGTATGTATTGCAATAACTTAAGATGCCTTGTTGAGTGACCTGTCTTGTGAGTTTTTTTTAGGTTTTGCTATGATAATGCATGTGTGACCATATTATGTGGGCCTGATCAACTCATCCTTTGTGTAACATGTGCAGAGTTATGGCACCTCCTATGAGGACTCGAGAGACAAATGAGGGTCAGCCTGATCCTGTCCTGACTGCATTAGTTGAGATGCAGGCGGCTAGACCAGCCAATCAAGAGGCCACTAGGGCGGCCAATCAGGCGATGATGGACGCCGTGAGAGAGGCGAATAGGAAAGTCACCGAAGACGTGCTTGAGGCGAACAGGTTGGCAAACATGACCATGATGAGGATCATGTTGGAGGAGATGAGGACTGGTCGTAATGATGGCCAATTTCCTTCACCATCACCGCTGCCGCCTCTACCTAGTCATCAGGATGGGAATGGAGGAGGTGAGATGCACATTCTTGAGGACGATGGTCTGAGCCACATAGAGGGTGTGAGTCACCTTACGAGCTTGATGCAGCCCTATTATGAGCCAGTGGAAGATCAAGAGACGAGAGACCGCAGGTTGAATGCTTTCCGTAAACACAAGCCACCTTCATTTGATGGATCCTATGATCCAATTGTTGCTGCTAGATGGCTGGCTCCAGTCTTTGGACAAGATCTTCAGAGTTATGCAGTGCATTGACCCACAGAAGCTGTTGTTTGCTACTTACATGTTAAAGGGAGATGCACATGAGTTGTGGGTGAACACCTCTCAGGCGTATGAGATGCAGGGCCAGATTATTACTTGGCCATTCTTTGAGGAGCTGTTCCTTGGGAGGTATTTTCCTTACGATGCCATGTAGTGCAAGCAAGGAGAGTTTGAGCGCCTAGTACAGAGCTCAATGACTGTGGACGAGTATTTAGCTAAGTTCAATGAGCTAGCCAAATTTGCACATTTTTGGGTTGTTAGACCTACACCGAAGTCTTTGGCTTCTAAGTTCCATAGAGGCCTGAATGAGGAGATAACAGACAGGATAACTGGAGCTGCATCCAGAGACTTTAGCACATTGATTCAGCAGTGTCGGGACATAGAGGATGTGTGCATGGTCAGCAAGGCCAAAAAGGCCAAGGTATCTGAGGATAAGGGAGTCAGTGGTCCCTACCGGGGGAGGGACAAAAGGTATAACAGGAAGGGCAAGGGAAAATAGTTGCAAGCCAGACAACCGTTCAACATGTTCAAAAGGACTTCTACACCGTAGGGTGGTTTTGCTAGACCTACTTTTACTCCTAGATGTGCGGGATGCGAAAATGAGCATATGGGGCATTGTGCTACTGGTGAGCTGCTATGCTACAAGTGTGGAAAGAGTGGCCATATGGCCAAGGATTGCTATGCACCAGTTGCTCGGGCTGCAATTGCCTAAGCTACACCACTTCAGATGATTTCAACACCTTTTACCGCATCACCTGCTGCACCACCAGCCACGAGTCGAGTGTACACTCTTGATCGCCAGCCGTCGGACAGAGCTCCAAACCTTGTGAGAGGTACTGTTTCCATTAGTGGTTGTGACATAGATGTGTTATTTGATTCCGGGGCTACGCACTCTTTCATCGTGAACCTGATTGTTGTGGCACATAGGTTGTCCATTTTTGTGCTTTCCCCACCTTTGCGGGTTACTACAGCCACCGGGGAGAAGTGTGATACTTCATCTGTACACCGTGATGTTGTGTTTCAGTGGGATTACCGTGAGTACTCAGTAGAACTGATTGGTTTACCTATGGCTAATTTGGAGATCATCCATGGCATAGATTGGTTGTCCAGAAACTGTGTGATGATTGATTGTTGTGCAAAGAAAGTGATGATGTCTCCTTGTGATTCCTCTACTAGTTCTTCTCCTTTTTATCAGTGACTCAGGCGAGAAAGGCCTTAAGGGCCGAAGTATATGGCTATCTCATGTTGGGAGGTTTGGTGAGTGAGACACAAAAGGATATTACCGGCATTTCTGTGGTGAGAGAATTCCTTGAGGTGTTTCTTGAGGAGATTCCTGAATTTTCACCAAAGCGAGAGATAGAGTTCTCCATTGGCTGAGCAAACCATCCTGACATTGGAGGACATGCTGAGGGCTTGCACTATGGAGCATGGCTCAGCATGAGATTGGTAGCTACCATTGGTTGAGTTTTCGTACAACAACAGTTTTCATGTTAGTCTGGGCATGGCATCCTACGAGACATTGTATGGTAGGAGGTGTAGGACTCCTACCTGTTGGTCTGAAGTTGGAGATCGTGAGTTGTTTGATTTGAACTTTGTTCAAGACACTATCCAACAGATCCAGATGATCAGAGAGAAGCTTAAGTAAGCATAAAATCTCAAGAAGAGTTACTATGACAAAAGCATCGGCCACTGGAGTTTAATGAGGGTGAGCACGTGTTTGTGAGACTTTCACTTGTCACCGGTGTTGGTCGTGCTATCAGAGTGAGGAAGCTTAGCCCGAGATTTATTGGGCCATACCAAATACTTGGTAGGGTAGGGCCTGTTGCCTTGCCTTGCCTCCGAACTTGGCCAACATCCATGATGTGTTTCACGTGTCCCAGCTACAGAGATACATAGCGAATCCTTTGCATATTGTACAACCCGATGATGTGGAAATTTGGGAGAACTTAAAAACTCCCGTAGGACCACTAAAGATACTTGATCGAGGTGAGAAAGGCTAAGAAGCAAGATCATTCCCATGGTCAAAGTGCAATGGGAAGGAAGAACTCCAGAGGAGTGTACTTGGGAGCGGGAGGAAGACCTTCTTTCTCAAGAAGATAGTAGGAGTAAGGTAGAACTTGAAGAAATTCAAGATCTACAAGAATAGATAGGGGAACCCGAGTTTGTTGATCAGGCGATGCCTCAGCTGGAGGCAGCAGACACCCAGCCCCGTAGGAGCACTAGGTTTAGTCATCCATCTGAGAGGTACGGTTTTGTGATTGAGAATCAGCAGACCGTTGAGGATGATGAGCTTGCTTCCTACAATGAGGCAGTCAAGGATGTTGACTCCTTAAAATGGCAAGAAGCCATGGAATCCGAAATAGATTCGATGCATCAGAACAAGGTATGGACCTTGGTTCCACCACCTGAGGGAATAGTTCCTATTGGGTGCAAGTGGGTTTTCAAGAAGAAGACTGATGTTGATGGCAACATCCAAACCTATAAAGTTGGGTTGGTTGTGAAGGGTTACCATCAAAGACAAGGAATTGACTTTGAGGAAACCTTCTCACCTGTTGCCATGATCAAATCTAGTAGGATCATGCTAGCGATAGCCGCATATTATGATTATGAAGTTTGGCAAATGGATGTCAAAACCGCCTTCTTGAATGAGTTCTTGAAGGAGGAAGTGTATATGACACAACCTGAAAGTTTTGAATCCAAGAGTCAAGAGCATATGGTGTGCAAACTTCAAAGGTCAATATATGGGATTAAACAAACTTCCACGAGCTGGAATCTTCGTTTTGATGAAGACATTAAGGATAACGGTTTTATCAAGAATGAGGATGAACCATGTGTCTACAAGAAGGTTAGTGGGAATGTTGTTGTTTTCCTTATGCTATATGTAGATGACATATTGCTCATTGGAAATGATATTCCCATGTTACAGTCCACAAATGTTTGGTTGTCTGAGAACTTCACCACGAAGGATATGGGAGAGGCAGCCTATATACTAGGTATTAAGATCTATAGAGATAGATCCAAGAGGTTACTGGGATTGTCCCAATCCACGTACATAGACAAGATGCTAAAGAGGTTTAGCGTGGATGGGTCGAAAAGGGGTTTTCTTCTTGTCGGTCATGACATTCATCTCTCTAAGGCTCTGTGTCCTAAGACACCTGTCGAAAGGGAACGCATGGAGAGGATTCCATATGCATCAGCAATTGGATCCATCGTGTATGCCATGCTATGTACTAGACCAGACGTCTCTTATGCTTTAAGCACTACGAGCCGATACCAGTCTGACCCTGGAGAGAGTCACTGGACGGTCGTGAAGACAATCCTTAAGTACTTGAGAAGGACTAAGGATTTGTTTCTGGTTTATGGTGGCAGTAATGAGCTGATAGTGAAGGGATTCACTGATGCAAGCTTCTAGAGTGATAAAGATGACTGTAAATCTCAGTAAGGATTTATATACACCTTAAATGGTGGAGCAGTTTCTTAGAAGAGTTCCAAGCAAGAGACCACGGCAGACTCTACAACTGAGGCAGAATACATAGCGGCTTCATAAGCGGCTAAAGAGGCAGTTTGGATCAAGAAGTTCGTTGCAGAACTTGGAGTGGTTTCGAGCATTGTTGATCCATTACCTTTGTATTGTGACAACACTGGTGCTATAGCCCAGGGCAAGGAACCTTTGTCTCATAAAAGGTCCAAACATGTGCTCCGAAAGTATCACCTCATCCGAGAGATTATTGAAAGAATGTAGATAAAGATGGACTACGTCCCCACTTATAATAATTTGGCCGATTCTCTGACGAAGGGTCTCTCTCAGAGAAAACATGATAGTCATTATGAGACTTTAGGTTTGACACGTCAACCTGATTGGCTCTAGGCCAAGTGGAAGATTGTTAGTATATAGGTGTCCTAGAGACAATCTATTTTATCAGTTGAACACTTTTTTCTATTTAGTATTTCATGATTAATAAATTTGAGCAAACTTTATCTTTATCATATTTATGTCTCGCCAATATTTCATTGTAAATATACGTTTAAAGATAAAGACCCTAGGAATAAAACAGGTGTACACTCGAGGATCTATGATAGGGATCATGATCATGAGGACTCGAGGACACTGAATGTCTATTACCTAAAATTTGTTCCTGGTCTTGAATCACCAAGAAAGGGTATTGGTGATCTCAATAAGACTAGTACAACATCATCTACTTGTATGGAGATACAAGGTAGGGACCTCATAGAATACAGGCATGGTGATGCCTTAGCTGAGGTCGTGGATGGATCTGTTGGAGAACAGATAACACTGAACTGACCCCCTAGAGACTCCACAAGGATTCATTATGGAGAGTATCATTGGATTTGTAAAGTCTCTGAATGTTTGGTAGTGCGGATCGTCCTAGACTTAAGGATGTCATCGAATACTATGTCCTAGAGTTATACTTTGACTATACAACTCTATTCGCCTGAAAATGGGGAGAACAATGTACTCTTGGGTATAACCCGAATACATGAGTATAGATGGACATGCCAAAAGGACTCACAATCCCCTATAAGGGATTAGTTGTTCACAAAGACCGGTAGGGCTGAGATGACTTCTAGTTGACTCGGGAATCTATGCATAGTAAGAGATCATGAAGAGTCATGATCTGTCTTAGAGTCAATATAAGAAGATTCCTAGTTCCTGTGAAATATTATATTTAGTCAATAAAGATAGATGATACTCTACCTTGCTCTCGACTAAATGTGACCGACGATGTGAGGGATAATGCTGGCACGGTATCCAAATCAGAAAGGTAGATCACTTGATCAACTCAATTAGTTCTGGAGCTACAGAGCATTGCTAGTGTATCATGTAGTCATTAGATGCATTGGGCCTTTTTAAAGGAGTTTAACTAGTTCAAGTTTATTTATGTTAGTAACTAATTGGGCCTAATAGGTCACACACAAAGGTTATTCCTTATTGCAAGTTATAGCAAGTTTGGACCAATAATAAGTTATTGGGCTTTGTTAAGACTATGAGTCAAGTTGGATTGGAGTAGGGACTCTAAGCCCACTTGATCCATGCGCCCTTTTGGGGCATTAGTGGTGAAAGAGTTTTCTCCACTAATGGGCCCAAATATGATGGTAGGCCAAAGAGGCCTCAGGGCATGATTCCTAGTAAGTCAAAGAGTTGACTTGACCAAAATAAGGTTAGGGCAAATTTGAAATTTGAAATTTGAATTTGGATTTTGAATTCGAATTACGAACTGAGATAAGATAGAATTTATATTTGAGTTTAAATTTCAAATTGAAATTTAAAATTTGAATTTGAATTTTAAATTCTATGAGGTTAGGTTGTCGAGGATAATTTAAAATTATTTAAAAGAATTATCCAATAGAGATTGGATGGAGATTCTCTCAACTGCTTTTTCATTTGAATTTAGAATTCAAATGAATACTGTTGCAACAAAAATTTTGAGGGAAGAAGAGGAAGAGGGGCGCCTATGTGGAGAGAGAAATCTTGACTGGATTCTGTATCAGATTTCATGGAACAAATGGATATGATCCATACTTGAATTTTGAATTCAAGTCATGAAGCTTCCAAAGGCTCCCAACAGTCTGGTCAGTTGTTAAGTGAGAGGATCAAGCAAAGAAAGATCCTCTCACCATTCAAATTTGCGCCTAACTAAATGGGGGGCTGATGTAGTTGATCAGATAATTAGAAAAACCTGATGCTCCCTCTCTCCTCTTAGGGTTCTAAGAAAAGTTCCAACCTTTCTTCTTCTCTCTCCTTTTGCACCATCACCTAACCTCAAGACACCATTACAGTCTTGAGAAAGATAATCCAAACACTTGGTAGCCTCTTCCTTGCATGCGCCTAGCTAGCCACCGAGGATAAGGAGGGATCAAGGAGAAAGAGTTCTCGCTAGCAAGAAGGAGATAACCGTGTGGATGATCGTTGGAGGGCGTCATCTTTTTGCGCCTACAAGTGAAAAAGGTAATTCTGAAACCCCATATTGTTTCATCCTAAAGCATTCATACATGGGGTGTATAGATGGTTTATGCATCCGCTGCAAAAATTTTTGTTTTTCCACCCATGTATGCGCTCCATAGTATGACTATGGTGCAGTTTTCGAACCTTCAAAGTATTTAGAAAGTCAAATAATGCTTAAGCCGCTTTTCTGATGAAAAGTGCAGATACAGGGTCTGCTTTGCGGTATAAACGCGTACCAGTGAAGTATCACGTAAAATTATAATAAAAATATAATTATTCCTAGAAAAATATCTAAGTCAAGGATATCAATTTTGGAGTAAGAATAATGAGCTTTGATGTCAGAACTAGTACCGGCTAAGTATAAAACATGTACCGGCAAAGTGCAACGAAAATTATAATAAAAATATGATAGTTCCTAGGAAAATGTCTAGGTTTAGAATATTAAGTTTGGGAGTAAAATTATTAGCGAAGCTATTAGAACTAATACCGATGGATTAACTAAGTGCACCTATAAATAGGAAGGCACAATAACCAGGAATTTGTAGTCAGGCTGTTGTTTGTAGAGTTTAAAATGAGGGATTTCAAGGTTTATTGCAAATAAAGGGAGTTTGTTTATTAAATAAGTGGCCATGGTGAATGCATAATCCAAAAATTGCATTGGGGGTTTAAAATGGGCTAGAAGTGCAAGACCAGTCTCCATAACATGACGATGATTTCTTTCCACAACACCAATTTGATGGTGTGTGTGTGGACAAGTCACTCGATAGGCTATGCCATGTGAGTTAAGATATTGAGTGAAAATTCTAAACTCTCCACCCAAGTATGTTTGGAGTGCTTTCAAAGGTAGCTGGAATTGATTTGTCACCATGGTATGGAATTGGTTGAAGATATTAATGGCATCTGATTTTTATTTTATAGGGTAGAGCCATGTGTAACAAGTGTGAGTATCAACAAATGAAATATAGTAAGAATTGCCAAGTGTTGATTTAAGGGATGAAGGACCCCACAGGTCATTGTAAACAAGGTTACATGGTGTTTTATATTCAGTACCAGATGGCATAGAAGGCAGTCTATGAGATTTTGCACAACAACAAGCAGAACAGAAATCAGCCATTTTATTGCTAATATGTATATTACAATTTTTGAGTACAACCTTAAGAGACTCTAAATGAGGGTGTTCGAAGTGACAGTGCCACAGAGAAAACATGGATTTAGATGGAATACATTCACTATCAATAACATCAACAAAGGTATTAAGACATTGGGTATTAATATTGACACTAGAACTAACAAGATTAGCTGAATTGCTTGTAATAGCAAGCAAGGATGAACTCGAACAATTGTGACTTGTAAATGAGTCAGGAAATTTGACAAGCGTTAAGTCTGGAACTGATATAAACTATCAGTAGCAACTGCTCCTTTAAGGAGAATCTTATGGGAATCCTGACATTTCACAAAACAAACATCAAAATGGAATTCAAAATATACAGAATTATCCTTAGCATACTAACTGACACTGATAAGATTTTTGGTGATTGCAGGAACTAGGAGTAAGTTCTTAAGATGCAAACAAGATTTAGAGTGAAATGAGATATAAAAAATGAAGAACCAATAGTTGTTATAAGCAAACCTTGGCCATTTCTAACGAAAATATGGTCTGTAACACTTAGATGCTGAGATTGCATCATGTTCTGTGGTGTTCCAGTGACATGGTTTAATGCTCCAGAGTTAGAAAGCCATTCAACAAGTGGAATTGAGTTTGACGTGGAAGGAACTATAGATTGAGTAGTAACATAAGCTTGTGGTTGGCTTTAAGGTCTATTATATTGATAAGACTTCACTGGTTGAGACTGTTGTTGAAGAAAAAATTGTGGATATGATGTGTTTTGTGGTGGTCGAAGGTTAGGGATGAAGTTCTCTTCAAACCTATACCAGCAGTCTCTAACGTCATGTCCAAACTTATAGCAGAGTTGACAATGAATGTTGTTCTTGCTTCCACATCCTCTTCCTCTATTAGGTTTCATTCCAGATCTTGTTCTTCTTATATTTTTATCATTTGAAGAGTTGAAACACTTGAAATCACATTCCTCTATTCGATTCTATTTTCTGGTTTCAGAAATAGAGTCATCTTCTTCATCAGACGCGATCTTCTGTGGTGGCTGGAGTCGCAAAGTCAGGTTTATTGAAGCTCCTTCAATCAATACTTGCTCATTTTGTTTGATTATAAGTTGTTCAGAAGCCATGAGTTTTATTCTTAGATCTGCGACTGAGTAGGCCCTGTCTCGACCATGAATCATTATTACGAATGAGTTATAGTCAGAAGTTAATCCTTCAAGTATCGTTTCTGTGTGTTGTTTAACAGAAACTGGATTTCCAATGGATTTGAGTGAGTCATAGTTCGTTTTGATCCTCGCGAGGTACTCTTTCGCGGTTTTAGATCCTTTCTTCATCGTTTTTAACTCAGATATGAGTTGTCTGGCTCGCGCGTTCATTACACCATGAAATAACTTGTGAATATTCTCCTATGCTTCGAATGAATGCTTGATAGGAAGAATGTCGTTCACTACTGGTTCTGAAATGGTAAACAACAGCCAAGTCAGAAGCATCTGATCTTGCATTAACCGTTTAGTGTACGTTGAATTGAGTGTGTTTCTCTCTCGATCTTCATCAGAGTCGAACTTCAAGGGAATCTTAAGGTTCACCAAAAAACGTTGTAATTGGTGTGAGGTTATGATCGGTTCAATAATATGGTTCCAGAAGAGGTTATCAGCTCTATATATATAGCCGATGTCCACTAAATGATGAGTTGGCAGTCTAATAGCCATACAATGGAACACAAGGGAGAAACTCAATGATGAGCTGACAGTCTAACAACCATACATTTGAATACAAAAAAGAGAAAGAAATAATCATCTATGTTTTATACAACTTGAAGTATTCTACTACAGATACACTAATAAAACCAAATAGAAAAAACTTTTATTTTCGATTAACTTTTCTAAATGTCGTAATACGAGAAATGGTTCATTAAGGGTGTGTTTGGTACAAGAGAAATTTTTTGGTGACCGGGAATCATGATTAATGGGAATACAGTAGAAATTGAGTTTACTTGGAATCTTACGAAAGATGTGTTTGGTTCGCCAAAATATTACCGGGAATATTGAGTAAAAATTACTGATTCCATATTTGATTTAGAACGAAATATGACTTGGAATATGAGGTTATTTTACAAAAATAACCCCAAACTATTTTTACTTTTGTAATTGATAGATTGGGTCTAGATTTTTATGTGTATTGGGGTATTTTTGTCTCAAAATTTATTGTTATGCTTTTCCTTTACTTGGTATTCTGATTGGTATTCCGAATTACCATATTATTTTTGGTAATCTGAATAGTGACTTTTCTTTATAAATCAAATTACCGGTAATCCTTGGATATCTGGGAATCGTAATTTATTCCTTCTACCAAACGTGGTAATTACATTTACCAAAGAAGGATTACCGGTAATCCTCTTCAAAAACTTGAAACAAACACCCCCTAAAGTCAATCCTAAAACACACTAAGTAAGGATTTTTTTTATCATGGAATAACAATTCCTGGGAATATGGTGAAAAAATGAATTTTTCAATAATGTCATTAAAAAATTGTTTGGTAAGCTAAAATATTATCGAAATTTTTGTGAGAATTTTCACATCTAATTTTCCATTTTCTCAGGAAAGTAAGAATATCATTCTCTGGATGGTATTCTGGTTTATATTTTAGGAGGCGTTTAATAGAGGATAAATTTTTTTATACCTGGGAATCATGATTCCTAGGAATATGATGGGAAAATCACTTTTTCGAAAATATTACCAAAAAGCTGTTCGGTAGGTCAAAGTATTACTAGGATTTTGTTTCAAAAAATGTGTAAATTTTTTCCAACACCTAGGATTCCAAGAATACCACATCTTTGGTGATATTCTTGGATGACATTTTGAAAGAAAATTGTACACAAAACAAAATCCTTGAAAAATCAAATTTTCAAAAAAAAATAAAAATATAGAAATCTTATACCAAATGTAAGTAAATAGAATTAACACTATCACTTATTCGAAAATCTCAAAAAATTCCTTCTACCAAACAATCCCTTACACACAAAATGAAATTTTGAAAAAAATCATATTCCAAAAATAAAATAAAAATTGAAATCTTCTACCGTATATAAATAAATCATCTACCAAAAATCCCCTTCTTAGTGAAATTGAGACAGGGACCGGGACAACAAACACAATTGAACGTTGCCAAATGTCTTCTCCATTTTGACTAAGGGGACACTCATCTCAATAGTCAATCGAAAATACCAATACTGCTAGTGCCACTCACTCCCTCATTCACATATGCCTTCTCCCACACGCTCCATTGCGCGTGTGACGTATCATCCTCAAAACGACGTCACTCTCTCGTTCTCCACAAACTTCCCATTCTCTTCAAAAGTGCGCGGTCACACTCATCCATTTAACTTTGGGTCTTTGAAAAGGAAACCTTAACCGAGAGAGAGAGAGAGAGAGAGTGAGAGACAAAGGGGTTGATGCTGATTATCAAAACTAGTGGGCGTCCCGATCCATTTTGTGGGCTATAACACCTTCAAAATTTTCCCTCACTTTCTTTCGATGCATATATATATTGTTTTCATCAGTCAAACAGTGCAAGTTCCCCACTCAAAGGTATGCCATTTATTATGTCACAAAAATAAAATAAAAATTTATTAGTACCGGATAAATTATTCTATTTGTTATTTTTTTCTGCGTAACTTTGTCAATTACTCTTTAATATTATTAGATCAGAATTTTGATTAACATTTATTATTCTCTATTTATTAATATTTATCTTTCTCTATTCTTGAGATTCTGATCTAAAGAAAAGAGAAAAAATAGTAGTTAGAATAATTTAATATAAATTGAATTAATTAGATAATTCCCTGTGATTATACACTTTTGGTATGTGTGAAGGAAGGAACTTTATTGGAGCATTATTTATCTGTGTCTGATATTTGAGGATTAGTTTCCTGTTAAATATTTGATTATGATTAGTGGGGGCTTGATTTTTTAATTTTATTATGATTTTTTTGTTTCTTTGTCTTTGATTCACTTCCTAGCTATCGTTCTTATGTTGGGGCTGTGAGGAGCAATCTTGTCGATGAACCTTCTTCTACTTGGTCTCTTTGGTGATCAGGTGAGACCTTTCACTCTCTCGTTACTGTCAAAGTTGCTCTTTCAACTGTGTAGGAGGCCAGAGCTGTGTTTTTGGATTAACCCGAATCATTATAGCCCTATGTGTGTGCGTGTGTATGCTTTATTTATTTATTTATTTTTCAATTATAAGATGACTATTGCGTAAGATTCTAAGAATTTCAATTTGTTATAAGAGAAGTGTCGGGAATGTTTTTGCGAGGATGTAGGAGTTTCAATCAAGAAAGGAATTGGAATTCAAAATGGTGTTCTGTGTATTGATTAGCAAGCTATTGTATTTTATTTTATTTTTTTAAATTAGCAAAAGTTGTTAGTTCTTTGATACGTGAATAATTTGGTAATCTCTAATTATTGAGAACAAGAGTGAGTTTGAAGCAATTTCTTTTGCTCTGACATACTTTTCTTATTATGATATATAAATTCTACTTAGTTTCAAATTATGAATCGATAATTAGAGACATAGAAAATGTGTAGATTTGTTTTGGTAAGGTCTTTGGAGACTAAGCTTTTGTGCGTAAATTTGTTTCATGGTACGCAGCAGAGCATTTGGATATAGTTGTATCCAGTTGTATCCTTAAATAAAAATGGGTAAATTATAGATTACCATCTTGAAATTTGCTTTTGGTGCAAATTAGACCCAAAAGTTTTAAAACATGCAATTTACTAATTTGCTATTGGATTGTGCAAATCTCCCCAAAACATAACTACTTCTACATGGGTAATGGAGACAACATGTGAAATCAATTTTCTCCCGTTCTGATCATCCCCTTTTGTTAGTGATTTGGACTGAAAGTTAAGATTCGGACTTTGAAGTGATTGCACAGTTCAATAGTACATTTCAGTAAATTGCTTGTTTTGAGGGTAATTGCGCTACGTGCAAAGTTGACAGGGGTAATCTATAATTTGCCCAATAAAAAGAAGATAAAGCTGAAATTGAAATGGTTTTTTTGGTTGCAGTTCTTATGTAGGATATTGGAAGGCATAGGATTGAACATATCAGAATTTGGTCTTGGGAGAATTAAGGGTATAAATGAGGGTAATTGACCTCTCATACAGGTTATTTGGTTGTACCGCTGGCTTGTCAGTGCAAGGATAAGTACTAATAAACTTAAATTTTTTTTTCCTAAAGAGCAGTAATAATTTTATGGAAAAACCCTCAAAACTAAAGCCCATATGTAGACATAACCACATACTCACCTGACTTATGACCCTAATAAAAATTATTAAATAATCCTAGGATTGAAAATATTTCAGTTAACCCAAATGTCAAAATTACACCAAACTAGTCACATCAGTAGATCTTTGAAGTTCTTGACTTCATTGCTGCTTGATTCTCCTTCTGAGAATTTCAAGTAGTTGAATATTTTCTAAGTTTGTTATGTGAAATATGCAATCTGTAACTTGTGCTTCCATATATAAACGTATTCTCTGTAGTGTTCTGCTGCACCATTTCTTTCTTAGATGGTTTTGGTGCACAAACATGTAGCTATAGTTTATCATGTTAAGAACTCAAGTGAGTTTTCAACCAAAAAGTGCTACTTGATTTGTCAGAGAAAATCATAGAAAGTGAAAGTGAGAGAGAGAAAGAAAGAGAAAGAGAGAAAGATCTGAATGTGAACGTGTATTTTCTATTCTGATTAAAGGTGGGTACATGCAATGTGTTGTCCTGTATATAAAGCTATTACACAACGGTTGATCTGTTGTAACAAACTAGAGACACGTATCCTGTACACCAAAGCTACAGTAAGCTCACTTAGGACTATATTACTACAGTCAGGGCCCATAAGGCCCATTACAATATGTACATACATAGAGCCCACTACAACAACTACTGAGCTACTAAAATAAACTCCATATATGCTAATAGCCCCCCTCAAACTCAGGGGTGGTGGAGAAACAGATGTGTGTCCACAACCGTGAGTTTGTCTCTCAAAGAAGCAAAACGAGATGCTGATAAACTCTTGGTAAGGGTGTCAGCTATCTGATCCAGAGCTGGAACATGGAAGACAACAACGTCTTTAGCAAGAACTCGTTCATGAACAAAGAAAATGTCCAATTCCATATGTTTGGTTCTTGCATGTAGGACTGGATTGTGTGATAAAGCTACAGTGCTCATATTATCACAATATATGTGTGGAGTGTAAAACTGAATATTCAGTTCCTGAAGTAAAGATTTGAGCCAGAGGACTTCAGCAGTGGCAAGAGCAAGGCTGCGGTATTCTGCTTCTGTGCTTGATCGAGCAACAAGGTGTTGCTTTTTGGACCACCAAGATATTAAATTGGAACCAAAGAATACACAAGCTCCTGAAGTTGAACGACGATCATCAGGGTCACTAGCCCAATCTGCATCACAAAATGCAGTAACTGAGAACAGCTGGCTGGGATTAGATGGTTTAAGAACCATTCCATGATACAAGGTGCCTTTTAGATAACGAAGAATGCGTTTGACAGCAGACCAATGCTCTTCAAGAGGTTGGCTCATAAATTGACAAGCCTTGTTAACAGCATAACTGATTTCTGGTCTAGTGAGAGTAGCATATTGCAGAGCCCCAACAATTGATCGATAGAAAGAGGGATCTGAGAAGTAATTGGAGCCATGCTTAGAGAGTTTGCACCCTAAAGGAAGAGGAGTGGAGATGCCTTTTGTTTCAGCCATCTTAGCCTTGTGAAGCAGATCACGAATGTATTTGGATTGGGAAAGCAACAAGGCACCTGAAGAAGCTTTCTTCACTTCTATGCCAAGAAAGTAATCTAAATCTCCAAGATCTTTAAGTGCAAAATAAGAGTGCAGCTGCTGGATAAGAGACTGAATAAACAGAGAATCACCACCAGTGATGATAATATCATCCACATAAATCAGTAAAAACACACACTGAGACTGTCCTCTGTAAATGAACAAAGAGGGGTCACATTTGCTTGCTAAAAAACCCAGCTGCAGTAAGGCCCCTCTTAGTCTGTCAAACCAAGCTCTTCGAGCCTGTTTTAAGCCATAAAGAGCTTTATGTAACCTGCATACAAGAGATTTGTCAGAAGATTCAAAGCCTGGAGGTTGTTTCATGTACACTTCTTCCTCAAGAATGCCATTTAGGAAGGCATTATTTACATCTAATTGCTTAATGGGCCAGCCAAAAGAGATAGCAATAGTGAGAATGGTTCGAATAGTAATTGGTTTAACAACCGGGGAGAAGGTTTCATTATAATCAAAACCTTCTTGTTGATGAAACCCTTTTGCCACCAACCTAGCTTTGTATTTGTTGATAGTACCATCTGGATTTTCCTTCACTCTAAATACCCACTTGCAGCCTATGGCTTTTCTGTTTGGGGGTAGAGAAACTAAGGTCCATGTAGAATTATTGAGAAGAGCAGTGAATTCTGCTTGCATGGCAGGGAGCCAATTGGGGCTGGTTAAGGCTTGCTTGACAGAATTTGGTTCAAGAGAAGTAAGAAAAACTTGAGGTCTCATGGCAGTTTTAGAGCGTGTGAGAATAGAACGAGTGGGAGGAGAAATTAAGACATTAGAATCTGAAGGGATGTATTCAGAACCTGAACTAATGGAAGAGGAGGATGAAGCACTTGAAGGAGAAGTAGAGGCTGCAAGTGAGGCTTGAGATGCTGATGACTGACCAGGGGAGTGTGCAGGGGTTGTATTCAAGTCTGGAGACACTGGTGACTGAATGAGTGAGTCAGTTGAGTCAGTTTGCTGAACAATATTCTGGGAGGTAGTATCTGCAGCAGAACTAGCATTAGAGATAATGGCAGAATCAGTGTTAGAAGCTTTATATGATTCAACTAGAGGAATGGAGCTGGACACAGAGAAGGAATTAGTGGGTAATGTTGTTGTAAGCTTTGAATCAAACCAAGAGGAGTAGGGAAACTTGGTTTCATTAAAAAGGACATCCTTGGAAATGAAAATTCTGCCACTGGAGCTGAGACACTGGTAACCTTTGTGATTAGGTGAGTATCCAAGAAATATGCATTCACTGCTTCGAAAATCAAGTTTATGCTGATTATAGGGTCTTAAAAAGGGGAAGCATGCACACCCAAACACTTTGAGGAATTTATAGTCAGGAGGTGTCTTGTTTAACTTTGTGAAGGGAACTTCAAAGTTCAGAGCTGCTGTAGGAAGACAATTTATTAAGTACACAGCAGAAATAAAAGCATGATCCCAAAATTTCATTGGGAGAGAGGCATGAGCAAGAAGGGTTAATCCAGTCTCTACAATGTGCCTGTGTTTTCTTTCAACTACCCCATTTTGATGATGGGTATGTGGGCAAGTAATTCTGTGAGTGATTCCTTGCTGTTTTAGAAGTTGTTGAAATGTACGGTACTCTCCTCCCCAATCTGTTTGGAGAGCCTTGATGGTAGATTGAAACTGGTTTAGGACAAGGGCTTGAAAGTGTGTGAAGACTTGCAGGGCTTCTGATTTTAGTTTTAATGGATAAATCCAAGTAAATCTGGTGTTGGCATCCACAAAGGAAATATAATAGGTGAAACCCATGGTGGATTTGATGGGAGCTGGACCCCAAAGATCACTATAAATTAGATCAAAAGGTTTATCATATGTCTTACTAGAAGAAGGAGAGTGAAGTCTGTGTGATTTACCCAAACAACAAGCAGAACAGAAATTCAAGTCAGTTTTATTAGGAATAGGAAGCTTACAAGAGTTTAGTACAATTTTCAGAGCCTCACTATGAGGATGACCTAGGCGACAATGCCACAAGGAGTACATGTAATTGGAAACTACAGGTTTCTGAGAATCAAAAGTACTATTCTGTATACAAGTTGGAGTGGAGCCAGTACATGAAGTAGAACTAGAGCTAGAAAGATCAGAATTACAAAGTAAGACAGAATTACTAGAGCTAGAGTCTAGTGCAAGCTGCTGACTTGGACAATGGGAAAGTTGAAGACCACTGAAGCGATACAAGCCATCTGTTCCCAGTGTACCTTCCACAAGGACTTCATGAGATACTTGGGATTTAACACAACAAGTAGACGGGTGAAATTCAAATAAACTCCATTGTCACGAGCAAACTGACTCACACTGACCAAATTTTTGGTTATAGAAGGCACAAGAAGTAAATTGCGAAGATGTAAATTAGTGTGTGGTTTCAAAGGTGAAGAAAAGAAGGAAGAACCGGTGGCTTTGACTTGCAAACCTTGACCATTTCCTAAGAAAATTTGATCAGCACCAGATAATTGAGTGCTTTGCAAAAGATTATTAGGATTGGCCGTGACATGCTGAGTGGCTCCTGAATCTGGATACTACTCCAGTGCTTGAACGGTTGGTGGTGTTGGAAGAAGACCTTGGCCTTGATGAGTTAGAGAGGTAGCATTAATCTGAGGATTGAAATGTGGCTGAATCGGATTCTGTGTTTGAGCAGTGGTTAGCATTGCTTGTGGTGGATTGATCTGAGGTCTAACATACTGAAATGACCTCTGAAAGTGAACTGGAGTGGAAGAAGTGAAATATTGAGGTTCTTCAGGTGGAGGAATTGTAGGAACAAAGCTGTCATCAAATCTATACCAGCAACTTTGTACTTGATGACCAAACTTGTAACAAAGTTGGCATTGAACATTTCTTCCTCCACGACCTCTTCCTCTAAAATTTCGGCCAAAACTTCTTCCTCTGCCTCTTCCTCTTACATTTGAGCTATAGTTATTCTGAATGCTTGTGGTTTGATTCTGGTTGAGATCAACTTCAGCAAGTGCAGATCTGTTCATAGATGCATCTTTCTGATTATTGACTTGAAAGGATTTTTGTGCTACATTAACGGACATTGATTCTGACAATAGAGCCTCATTCTGCTTCATTAACATCATTTCATGTGACAAAAGCTCAACTCTTAAATCATCAACAGAGTAAGGATTTTCTCTTGCTCTCACTGAGGCTACAAAGGCATTAAACTCTGCTGGTAGGCCATCCAGAATGATTTTAGTTTGCTCCTCTATTGAACAAGGATTTCTGATCGCTTTAAGCTCATCACATAGGGATTTGATGCGTTTGAGATACTCAGAAACTGATCTTCCACCTTTCTTGATGGTGCGAAGTTCAGATCTAAGTTGTCTTGACTTGGATTTCATCATACCATGGAAGAATTTATGTATTTTCTCCCAGGCCTCATGTGCATACTGAACTCCAACAATTTCATTTGCTACATCTTCTGAAATCGTTGAAAATAGCCACGATAACAACATCTGATCTTGACGTAACCATGTTGTATATTCAGCATTCACTATGCCTCCAATACGATCTTGTTCTGACAGGTACTGAAGTGGAATTTTAGGATTAACAAGAAAAGAGTGAAGCTGATGAGAGGTTATCACCGGATCTACTATTTGATTCCAAAGTAGATAGTTTGTTTCAGTGAGCTTTACACAGCTCTGATGATTGAACAATGACGGAGGTTTGTTATCTGTTGATGCATCACAGTTGTGCGTTGATGCATCGCGACTTGGCTGTGTTGACGACGCGGAAGACATGGTGAAAGATCTTTGTATCAGGCCCTCAAAGAGAGCTCTGATACCATCAGAGAAAATGATAGAAAGTGAAAGTGAGAGAGAGAAAGGAAGAGAAAGAGAGAAAGATCTGAATGTGAACGTGTATTTTCTATTCTAATTAAAGGTGGGTACATGCAATGTGTTGTCCTGTATATAAAGCTATTACACAACGGTTGGTCTGTTGTAACAAACTAGAGACACGTATCCTGTCCACCAAAGCTATAGTAAGCTCACTTAGGACTATATTACTACAGTCAGGGCCCATAAGGCCCATTACAATATGTACATACATAGAGCCCACTACAACAACTACTGAGCTACTAAAATAAACTCCATATATGCTAATAATTTGAACCTGCATATCAAATTAAAAAGACTGTCCTAGAATGATGTGCCAAATTCATAAATTTCATTTGATTGGAATGAGGTTGTGTGAAACTGTCTTAGTGCTTAGGTGGTTTGGCACTTAAGATTGGGATCTGCCTAAGGTTCAATTCTTAGCAATGCTTTGTTGCTGATGATGAAAATTGGGTGTCAATAAATATCAGATAGGGGTATCAATTTTCACATGTATGATTTTGATGCTATGTTTGATTCCTTTAGACCATCGTAGTCCTTAGGATCTGTTGTAAGAGACATATACCTTTTTGTTGCCTCATATACCTGAAACAGATGGCATGACATCTTGAACTAAAATAGAAGAGAATTTCTTGTTTTGCACTTATTGCTGATTGGATTTTTCATAGGTACTCTGTAAATTTTTACTTGGGATCTCGGTTTTGGCATCTTTCATGGAGACTCAAAATCAATCAGAGCCTACAGTAGGATTAACAAGGATGATTCCTCCACCATCCGGAACTTTCCAAGATCGTGAAGACCTCATTAAACATGTTCGTGATTTTGGTGCCAATCAAGGATATGTTGTGACCATCAAGAAGTCCAGAAAGGATAGAAGAGTCATCCTTGGCTGTGACAGAGGAGGTGTCTATCGAAATAGGCGCAAAATTGATGAAAGTAAGCGCAAAAGGAAAGTAACTTCACGCCTTATAAACTGTCCTTTTGAAGCCATAGGTAAAAAGGAAGATGATGTATGGGTTCTTACTATAAAAAATGGAGATCACAATCATGATCCATTGAAAGACATGTCAGAACATCCTTATAGTCGACGTTTCACTGAGGAAGAAGTGAGACAAATCAAATTAATGACTGAAGCTGGTATAAAACCTCGTCAAGTGCTCAAAGCTCTCAAGCAAAGCAATCCAGAACTGCAGTCAACACCAAGGCACTTGTACAACCTCAAAGCAAAGATTCGGCAGGGAAATCTATCAGGTTTTACATCATTCTGGCTCTCCTTGTCAACTAGTTGATCTAGTAATTAGAGCGCTATAGGTTTAATTTCTACTCAATACAAGCATATATTGGTATCATTCTATGATAACTTTAGATAATAGTTGGGGGAACTATTTTTTCACCTTAGAAACTGAAGTATTAATTTCCAAGAGTTGAAAATTTCTATTGCTTTTGAATTCTTCATTTACTGATATTTGGACTTGCTTGTATTCATGATATTCCGTGTCATTAATTGTTCTTGTATGAGTCCATACACAATGATGCCATTCTGTTGTTGTATCATGCTTATGCCTTATATATCTCTTTTAGCAAAAGAGACACTGAAAGAATCATAATTGAAGAGAGAATAAAGTTGCTGCTCCTCATCATAACTGAAAATCAGCCATGTCTAGCTTTTGACTTTTTAGTGATATCTAGAAGTTGGAATTTTTACAATGTATTTTTGGTAACTGGTTCGAGTATGAGAAACACCTTATTTGCAAAATACAAGGGTAACACTTAATACAATCGATCCTCACCCCTGGCTACCCTGGCAAAGTCGGGAAGCCTTGTTCACTGGTATTTGTCCTTTTATCCTTTATTTTTGGTAACTGGTATTCAATGATTTTTTCTAGTTAAGTAGTTTTTTGTTTCCCTGTTCATTTTTCTTCTGCGATAATGTGAAATTCTTTATTGATAAAAGTTAAAAGAGTACTTGATACTTGAGTGCAGAGAGGCTAAATGTATTTGCCCATAGCGTATACTACCACGCTGTTTTAGTGGTTGTCAAAAAACTATATCTTCATCATAACCATGCTTAATTACATCTTGCAGAGAAAACTTTTAAGTCATGGAGGCCAAATAGATCTATTCCTGTTGAGACAAACGATAGTTCATCTGATGGTTCTTTAAACCAAAACTACCATCTGGTATGATTGAAAATCCAAGGACAATATTTTACCTCTATGTAATTTTTACTTTTTCTATCTTTCTCTTTCTTGCTCATTGTAGTTATTAAGTATTAAATTTGTGACTTTTTTTTTTTTAATTTAGCTGAAGGTCCCAAATTTTATTGGAGGTAAATATGTAGATTCTCAAGGCTGTGTTATCATTGATGTTACGAATCCTGTAAGCTGATACATTCTTCAGTGATACTTGTTTGAAATTTTCTGAACATTGTGATAGGTGGTTTATATTAAAATTAATTTTGAAATATATATATCTTTACTCAGGCAACACAAGAAGTTGTATCTCAAGTTCCCATAACAACATACGAAGAGTTTAAAGCTGCAGTTAGTGCAGCCAAGCAAGCTTTTCCTTCATGGAAAAACACTCCTATCACCGCTCGTCAACGTATTATGCTTAAACTTCAGGAGCTTATTCGTAGAGATATTGTAAGTGTGTGACATTCAAACAGATACAATTTCTATCATGCTTTGAATTTGATGGCAGGAATACTTTTTCTTATTTTAGGATAAGCTTGCCATGAATATCACCATAGAACAGGGCAAAACATTAAAAGGTGCCCAAGGAGATGTGCTTCGTGGTTTAGGTTAGTTTCTTTTCCTTCTTTATAGGGGAAAACTAATTCTTTTGACTAAAATTATTTATTTAATTGTTTTTATAGTTATTGTCATGAACCAATTATCCTAAAAACTTAAGCTTTTGGGTGGAGGCACATTAATACATTTATATTATATTTCTAATATGCTCCCTCACACAAAAGCCTATTGGGCTCATGGATAATGTACAAATCAACGTATCTTGTTCTAAAATTCAACTTTTGAATAGAGAAATGAGAGCAGTAAGGATTGAACTAGACAGTTTCATCATAGAGACTCTGATACAGTATCGCGAACCAACTATTCCAAAAGCTTAAGTTACTAGATAAAGGCATATGGATGGTTTTATTTTACATCTCTAACAATTATTTCAAAATGGACTTCCTATCTTTTCTGCAGAAGTGGTAGAACATGCTTGTGGGATGGCAAATTTGCAAATGGGGGAATTTGTCCCTAATGTTGGTAATGGGATTGATACATACAACATCAAAGAGCCCCTTGGAGTTTGTGCTGGAATCTGCCCCTTTAACTTTCCAGCAACGGTACCCTTGTGGGTATGTCTTCCATGCTAGACCTTTCTTCTTTATTTTAGTTAATTCAATATTCATTCTGTTCCTTTATTTTTGTAAATGGAGAAATTGGCTATGTTCTGTGTATAGGCGTGCTCCTTCGAGTAGGAATTGGTCCAGAAGGGTTAACCTGTCTTTTACTTCTTTTTGCAAAACCAAGTTGTTAAACAATCAAAATAAATGTAGAAAGACCATCTAATAATAGTATGTATCACTGTTGCTCCTATTTATCCAAACCTTTCTTCTCTGGATTTCTTTCTTTTTCTCTTAGTAGTTTCAAAAGATGAACTTTATTATTTATTTTTTATTAATGGTTTATGATAAGTCATAAGCTATTGTGGTTAGGAACAAAAAATCTTAGAAATTAAATGCATTCTTTAAAGAACCAATTCAACCCAACAACTTAAGTTGTTAGATGAAGGTGCATGAATAGTTTTTATATTTATATTTCAAAGATGTCCCTTCACGCAAAAACTCTTTGAACTTGAAGTGTGGATAATATACAGGCTATTTATTTTGTGCTAAGAAATTCCACAATATTTATTAAAAGAATGGGGTGCCAATGGTCGAACTAAAGATCGATTGGTCAATGGTCATAGAGGCTTTGATTACATGTTAAGAACCAATTCTCCCAAAAGCTTACTGCTAGATGAAGGCACCTGAGTAGTTTTTATGTTTATATTTTTAACACATTCTGTAACAAAAAATTAAATATATTTCCCTGACTATGTATTCATGCCTTTATGCTGATACAACTATAGTTTGGTACCTGATTCTTCTTGTATCTTCTCGGATGAAGGACCTCTCCGCTTTTGCAATCCAACCAAGAGAGGGCACTCCTTTAAAGATGGACAATTCAAACTTTGAAACTCAAGAATGATCTTCCATCATTTTAGGGCTCGACCTGCTTTGGTCTGTAGATGTGCCCATGATAGCGAAAGGCTCTGGTTCAACGACCCTTTTAACATTGCTTTCGAAATATGGTGACTTAATACCCTTTTCCATGAACATGTTCTGTCACAGACATTGGAATCTTGCTTCTTGATTCTAAAGAGTAGCTTCTCCTCCTTTTCTTTATCAGCCACCATTTCTTGGGTCTTTACCAATTTCGCCAGCATCTTCTTAAGTTCTCATATAGTGGAATCCGAACTAACCCTTTCGCCTTTCCTCTAGGTTATAAGTATCCTTTGTCTCATTCTTCTTCATCCACTCCTTCATGAAGGAGCGTATTTCATCAAGTCCCTCCAATTTTCGGTTGATTTTATTGGTTTCCTTTTTGAGTTCTTGGATAGATTTTCCCTGAGCTTCCACTTTCACTTCAGTGGAACCGATCTCCGTGAGGTTTCGGCAGGTAGGACCATGGTTTTTCAAGGGGACTTGTTAATTTTATTGATGAAAGAAGAGAAAGAAGAAAAGTATCAATTTTATTGATGAACTAGTACAAAACATACAAGAGAGAAAACCTCTCCCAAGAGGCAAGTACTCTTTAACTTGAGAAAACCATCTCAATATACTCTCAAAAGCTATTCTTAACATAGGTGTATTCCCCTTACTTACAAGTCATTAGGCTTCCCTATTAAGCTACTAACTAACTGTTTCTAAGTACCCGACCACCTAACCTAACTACCCTGGCCCTACCTAAGGTCCTTTTACAATCTCAGTTAACAAATGCTCAATCTTCTTGTGCACTTGTTACTTCTTGGAGCTAGGACAGATAACTATTGAACAGATTTGTGCTGATAAAAAAGTTTTTCTGTAACAACATAGGCATGCTGACTCTTGAAATTTTCATATTTGTGGACACCTATTGTTCTTATGTTTACATTAAATTTTGTCTTTGTAAAGCTTTGGCATGCATCAAGTGAAGTTTTTACTAAATTATTTCCTTATTTTTTTTCAGATGTTCCCAATAGCGGTTACATGTGGAAACACTTTTATTCTCAAGCCATGTGAGAAAAATCCAGGTGATTATTTATTTTAGTAAACAAAATGTGAATTTATGGTTTGAAACTATTTTAGACAATCATTGTGGGAACCCTTACCAGTAAGTTTATAATTCATATTTTTAGTGCTTTACGTCATTGGATAAATAGTTTAAGAGCGCGTGTAATACAAATATGATAAAACTTCATAAGAATTAAAATATAAGTATATTTTCAGTAACGGAACTACTAAGTTGGCTAAAATGCGAGGAACCCCCTCCGACTATGGACCTAAGTTTAGAAAAACCTCTTGTGCTTACATACTAACCAAGATGACTACATGATCCAACCAAACAAATCATGTTAACCCTTCTATTAATCATCTGATCTGTAAAGAACCTTGAGATACACCACCCCAAAAGCTAGCTCAAAGGGTGGGAGTGCTCAAGACTTTATAAACTCCACATTAGTTGCACACACAATCAATGTGGGACTATATATCTCAACATTAACCAAAAGAATATAAAAATAAAATAAATAAGCTTTTGAAGTAAGGAGAGAGTAGCATAGGAGAAGAGGAGAAATACTGAGTATTGGTTAGGGTTAGGCTAGGCCTCTATTTATAGCCGAAGTTTAGGGCTCAGACATGGGCTGGACTTCGTACAATTATTTTTCTTTTCTTTTTAATTTCTTATGGCTCAGAATATCGCTTACTCATCATATCTAATCAAATAAAGATTGCTAACTTATCCTAATCCAATCATATTACCAATCAAACAATCAAACATTAATGCATAAATGATTAATCAATTAATAATTCAATTAATCACAATTTATCATTAGTCATAATATATATATATATACATTATTATTATTACTACTAATTTATAATTTATTATTATTATTAATTTATTATTATTGTAAATTACTATTACTTTTCTGGGATATTACAATACTAGTCATGTTCATCGCCGTGGTAGTCTAGATTCACGAGAATATTTACCACACTAGTATATTAGTCAACCTGTAGTTATGTCTGTGGTTAATAGCTGTTAATAAGCTCTATAATTAGTCCTTGATTTGCACATATACTTATGCACTTACAGTATAAATAAGATGGATTGCGTGTACAGGAGAGTCACTTGAGTGTTCCCATCTTCCATGATTCGTGTCTATTGTCTCTGCTGTTTGTGTTCCCTTGGAACTCCACTGTGCATTATTTCCTCTGTTTCCCTTTGCTTCTATGTTAGAATCAGTACTGTTCATAGTTTTTTGACACGTCCTTGGTGGTTTAGATTATGGATTTATGACATTGAGCTTATTTAGGTGATTTTGCATTATGGTAATTCATTGACTTGGGGAATGGTGTTCTCCTGTCTCTGTCTTTGGAATAACCTGGTGAAATTTGTCAAGATGACGCCTAGCTATTCTTGTTTGTGGAGGTTCACAAAAGTACTAGACAATGATGTAGTTTTGTACTATGTTGTTTAGTTGTGATTTTCTGTTGGGATGGCTTCAAATGGGTTGAAGAAAATGCAGTGGTTTTTTTTGCACTGTAGAAGAAACTTCTGGGAGGGAGCTGTTGTTGAAGTGCAAACCACCATGCCTTTTCTGTCTTCTTTTTTAGTCTTTGGTCTGGTTTTGAGATAAAACTGTGCAGGGTGGATTAGAAATAGTTGAAGTATTTCCTATTAGTAATTGCTGGGAGAGGGATGGAATTGTGGCCAGGGAAGAGTTTTTTTTTTTGTTTTTTTATCATGTCTTTCGATCTCTCCTTTTTCTTTTCCAACTCGATTTCCTTTTGTTTTTCATACCGTTGTTTTCTTCCTTTTCTCCTAAAGAGGTGTTGACGATAGTCTTTGCCATTAATTTTTCAGGTGCTTCAATGATACTTGCAGCACTAGCAATGGAAGCTGGTTTGCCAGATGGTGTATTCAATATTGTTCATGGTACCCATGTATGGTAAACTACTCAAGAGTTAGGACCTTTCTTTTCTTCATCATTATTGTGATTATAGCTTATTGTAATCTATAGATGCGTAAGACTTGAATTTGTGGCTCGGGTTTTTCATGATTAGATGTATCTCGTTCTTTATCTTTAGGATTGGAGAAATCAAATATTATTCTCTGATTATTTTGCCAATTTTTTGGCTAATTTTTATATGTTGTTTATTAAAATAAAGAATAATTTTTTGGTAAATTTTTATTATCACAATACTTGCTCTCCTCTGTGCTTGATAACTAGGTACCTCTGTCAACCCTTGCATTCCCTTCCCCTTTTTGTCTTTAGATTGACTTGTTTTGTCTCGAACTCACTACTAGTCTTGGTCACACCTGGTCCCACAAGGTGATACAGTAGCATTGCCAGAAGAAGAAACAGTTAAAGAAACTGGCGACTTAAAGGAGAAGAATTCAGAAGCAGAGGAAGTGGATGATACTAATCAAACAGAAGAACAAAACATAGCTAGAAGAAAAGGGCACCGCGAAAGGAAAAGGCCTTTGAGGTTTAGAGATGACGTGTAAGGTTGTTAGAAAAGTTAGTTGGGGGAAATGTTACGTGTAAACGAAATAGGAGGGAAATAGTTAGTGGTGGGATACGTGGCTATACTTGTAATAGCTATAAAATAGGGAAATTGTAATTCATAAAACACTTTTGATGAATATACATGAAACTTCTTTCTTCTCATCTCTTGAATTTCTCTCTTCTGTCATTATCCTTCTCTTCTCCTCTAATTCTGTTCTGGGTAGAGAATCACCTCTATCAATTGGTGCTTTCATCCTCTGAACTATGGCTCCTGAGACTCGCACTCGAACAGTGGAAGATCGCTGGGAACACACTCAAGCAGATGTAGAAATGCTGAAGGAACAGATGAACAAGCGTTTCCAAGAATTGTCATGCAAATTGGATGCAATCTTTGACAACTACAAAGAACGACAATCACCAAATCTTAGTTCCATTTCCAATCAGCAATCCAATACACGCGATCATGCAGCGGCGAAGAACCTGAGATTGAAGGTCTCATGTTACGATGGATTGACAGATCCACAAGGATGGATCTACAAAATCAATCAGTTCTTTGACTTCTATGATATGGAAGAAGAGCAACGTTTGAAGATTGCTCCTTTCTATTTCGAAGGTAAAGCCCTTTACAATGGTATCAATGGTTCAACAAAAATTCCACTATCGATTCCTGGCCCAAATTCCTTAAATCTCTGCAAACCAGATTCGGTCCTTCGGAGTTGGAAGATTCGCAAGGTCAATTAACCAAACTGTTTCAAACAGGCAAGGTGCTTGAATACCAGGAGCAATTCGAACACTTATCCACTCAAGTGGATGGTCTTTCTGAATCATTCCTAGTAAGTTGTTTCGTATCAGGCTTAAAACATGAAATTCAACATGATGTCTCTGCCTTTCGTCCTTCTTCCTTGTCACATGCAATGTCCCTAGCCAAACTACAGGAATCTAAGTTACACCTCAAGCATCACCCACCCAAATTACATTCTCCTTATCCTCCATTACTGCCCACACCCATACCACAACCGAGGTTTAACCACAACAACCATAATATCAAACCTACGGTTCTAACTACTCACACCAGCCAAACCACCACCCCAACAAACCCCACAGTTACTCATAGACTCACTCAAAGCCAAATTCAGGAAAGAAAGGATAAGAATCTCTGTTTTTATTGTGGTGAGAAATAGTTTAGAGGCCACAAATGTAAACCTTCAGTGCATGTGTTGATTGTGCCTGATGAAGACATTATTGATGATGAGTTGCTTCACAATTCTGAGTGCTTGGATGCTATGTCCAGCTTACCAACAGACACTACTGACATAATCATTCCACAGATTAGTATGCATGCTTTATCTGGGTTTGTAGTGCCTCAAACATTACGTTTTAAGGGCCTTATTGGGAAATCTGAGATGTTGCTTTTGGTTGATGGGGGCAGCACCCATAATTTTGTGCAACCAAGAGTAGTTGCTGAACTGCAATTACCTGTCTTAAATGATCGCCAGTTTGATGTGATGGTGGGCAATGGTCAGGTACTTAAATGTGAAGGATTCTGCTCAGCTGTACCAGTACAAATTCAGCAGCATGTCTTTTTGGTGGACTGTTATGTGTTACCAATACAAGGAGAAGACATTGTACTTGGAGTCCAATGGCTACAATTGCTGGGGCCTATTCTATTGGATTATCAAAAATTATCCATGGAGTTCTCTTGGGGTGGGGAATCAATAAAGCTACAGGGAGACCAACATATCACTTCCATCTCTTTCAATCAATTTCGAAAAATCCAACAACAAGGCCAGGTAGCTTCCTTATTTCAACTATCTGTTATTGATGCTAATCCTACTGTTAGTGATGATAACCATCCAGCTGTGACCAAGTTACTCCAAGAGTTTGATGAACTCTTCCAAGAACCACAAGAGCTGCCTCCACATAGACAATTGGATCACCATATTCATTTACAACCTGAGTCCACACCAGTAAATGTGAGGCCATACAGGTATCCTCATTTTCAGAAAGGAGAAATTGAAAGACAGGTCCAAATGATGCTAGATTCTGGTTTCATTCGCACCAGCACAAGCCCCTTTTCCTCTCCAGTCCTTTTGGTGAAAAAGAAGGATGGATCATGGAGATTTTGCATTGATTTTCGGGCTTTGAACAACCTCACTATCAAGGACAGATTCCCTATACCCACAGCTGATGAATTAATGGATGAATTGGGTGGTTCCATAATCTTTTCCAAGCTGGATTTGAGAGCTGGGTACCATCAAATCCAGTCTGATGATGTGCACAAGACTGCTTTTAGAACTCACCAAGGCCACTATGAATTTTTAGTGATGCCCTTTGGTCTCACAAATGCTCCTTCTACCTTCCAAGCCACCATGAATGTCATTCTTCAACCCTTCCTCCGTAAGTTTGTGGCTGTGTTCTTCGATGATATACTCATTTACAGCTCCTCCATAGAGCTGCATTTGCAACATCTGCAAACTGTTTTGGACACTCTAAAGTTCCATCAATTTTATATCAAGAGGTCCAAGTGTACATTTGCTCAACCAGCCGTAGAGTACTTAGGACACATTGTCTCACATACAGGAGTGAGTATGGACACCAACAAGATTAAAGCTATGTTGGAGTGGCCAATTCCAAAAAACCTCAAACAGTTAAGAGGATTCCTTGGACTTACAGGATATTATCGAAGGTTTGTCTATCATTATGCTACCATTGCTGCACCTTTAACCGAATTGTTGAAGAGAGATGCTTTCAATTGGTCAGAATCTGCTCAACATGCTTTCCTGCACTTAAAGCAGGCCATGACTACAGCTCCTGTTTTAAAGCTACCAGACTTTACCAAAGAATTTGTCATTGAGACTGATGCATCTGATGTTGGCATAGGTGCAGTCTTATTACAAGAGGAGCATCCTATTGCTTATTTTAGCAAGAAATTATCTCTTCGAATGCAAAGAGCTTCTGCTTATGTGAGAGAACTCTATGCTATCACCGAAGGTGTCAAAAAATGGAGACAATACTTACTAGGAAGGCAGTTTGTTATCCGCACAGACCAGAAGAGTTTGAGAGCTTTGCTTGATCAGGTAATTCAAACACCTGAACAGCAATACTACATGGCTAAACTCTTGGGTTTTCAATATTCCATTGTGTATAAACCAGGCAAGGAAAATAGAGTGGCAGATGCCCTCTCTCGAGTTCCCACTGTCTTTTGTTTCATGTCCCTTTCTAGTGTCCAGTTTGACATTCTAGAGAAACTAAAGGCAGAAAATATGCACTCATCTTTTTTCCAACAATGGTATATTGACTTGACTGCAAATCCAGAAGAACATGCTGACATGGAGATCAGAAATGGTCTTTTATTACAAAGAGGCAAGTTGTTTCTAGATCCATTATCTCCTTTGATTCCTACAATTCTACATGAATGTCATGCTACATTGTCTAGTGGACATACTGGAATTCAGAAAACTATTGCTCGAGTCAATAGTAGTTTCACTTGTAAAGGTTTACAAAAAGCAGTTACTAATTTTGTTAAATCTTGTGTGGTTTGTCAACAAGTGAAATATTCTACACAGGCTCCAGTTGGTCTACTTCAGCCAATTCCAATTCCAGAGAGAATTTGGGAAGACCTCACCATGGACTTCATTATTGGACTGCCCTTATCCCATGGTTATACCACAATCTTAGTGGTTGTTGATAGACTATCAAAGCAAGCCCATTTCGGCTGTCTTCCAAAAAAATTCACAGCTCCTAAAGTAGCTGCCCTTTTCTCTACATTGGTATGCAAGTTACATGGCTTACCAAGGTCTCTTATTACAGATAGAGATCTTATTTTCCTAAGCCGTTTCTGGGTGGAATTGTTTGAACTCAGTGGCACAACATTAAAACGCACAACTGCATACCACCCTCAATCAGATGGACAATCTGAGGTTGTGAACCGAGTCTTAGAACAGTATTTGAGGTGCTTTGTGGCTGAGTTCCCTAAGCAATGGTCTAAGATTCTACATTGGGCTGAACTTTGTTACAACACTACTTTTCATAGTTCAGCTGGGATGACACCTTTTAAAGTGGTATTTGGCAGAGATCCACCTTCCATTTTGGATTATATTACTTCCTCTACTGTTTCAACAGATGTGGATCGCGTGTTGCAAGACAGACAGGTCATTTTACAACAATTGAAAACAAATTTGCAGAAAGCTCAAGCTACTATGAAGAAGAATGCTGACAAACATCGCAGAGAGGTGAATTTTGATGTTGGTGATTTAGTTTGGGTTCATCTCCAAACCATATCGACAACATTCTGTAGCGGATCGTATGTCTCATAAACTATCTTATAGATACTTTGGTCTTTTTGCTATACTTAAGAAAATTGGATCAGTGGCTTACCAATTGGATTTACCAACCTCAGCAAAAATCCATAACACTTTTCATGTCTCACTGCTC